CCTAAATGATGACATGAGGAAGCCAGGAACGAAGAGAATTCAGGGCAACATATTGACTGATGGAGCAGGTTATCTCATCTATTGAACTAGAGGTACTTAAGCCAAGCCCCTTACCAACAGGACACAGATAAGTCTGAAACCTGCATTAATTCGGCCCTCCTTCCTCCATCACCTCCGACTCTATAAGCAGCTGACAAAAGGCTGATCCAGATGTGTTTCCATCAATGTCATTCCACCGCATTATCCCTAGGTCCCCATTTGCACGTCTGGGCATGTGCACAGGTGCCAGAGTGAGACACGGCCCATAGTTCTGCGGGGGCTGTCGTCTAGTCACAGTTCTACAGTTTGCTACAAAAAGAATCCCTGTCCCGAAGAGTGGCCCAGAAATACAAGGCCATCTGCAGTCACAATGGGAAAATCAAGCAGTGAGTGCCCTAACTATATTGACCATGGAATCCAAACAAAGACTTTCTGTGCCACTCCTGGGTTCAAGGGGCAGCCTAGGGGATGTCGTAATATTGAAATATCTGGCATATTTCAATGATTTATGTGGGAATGGTGGCAGTATATTTGAAAGTGCATTATTCTACAAAATCAGAGATATATGAATGCCCTGGCTAACCTGTCATTTGAAAGGCAAGATTCTACATTAATAACTGCAAGAAAGTTCTTTTTTTTTCTTTTTTTGCCAAGATTTTCCTGATTAACCTTCATCAAAAACTCCCATTTCCGAAATAATCTATTTAATTGATAGTTAACTGAATTTATATTAGAGCCTTTAAAGTATAAAAATGTCATTTGAGGATGAATTTATTGGCACTTACATGTACTCACACACTCCAGCAGATTATTTCAAAGATGTGCCAAAAGGAACACGATATTCATTGCTAAGGTCCTCTGCCACTTGAACAGTTTGAATTTTGAATTTTGGCTTTCTGTCTTCATACTCTAAGCAATAATAACAATGCAAAGATACTCTGCTTTTTGAAAGGAAATGATTGAAAAATTCGTTGAGAACAGAATTGGTCATATTTATCATCATTATATTGTCTTCTTAGGCCAGAGTGTCACGAGCCCGTGTGGGCTCTGCAAAGAAGCAAATAGTAAGGTTTCTTTCCTTTTCAGCCACCCAGGGGCTTCACACAGGTTGAAAGTCAATTAGAAATCCAAGCCAGCCAGAAGAACTTTGAGTCCTAGGCCTTGAAGACAAACCCAGCACAATGCTGACTGGTCACCCTATAGCCAGCGCCAGGCTTCCACAAGCCGAACTTGTAACGGAGACCCCCAGGTCTATCAGAAAGCCTCATGCTGGCCTCTGAGCTCAGAGGAAGAGGCCTGAGAGCCCACAAGGGTTTGGCCTGGGGACCGGCAAGGCAAATTCTAGAGAAAGCTTCCATTTACACAGACCGATGTCTCCCTCTCCTACCGTTTCACCCACAGTTTGGAATAAATCTGTCCTGGAGACAAAAGTTAACTCAACTTTAAGAGAAATAAAAATGCTTATCACTTTAGTATTTCTTCACTGAGTCCACTCAGCTGTCTCGTCACTGTCTATATTTTAATATGTCTTCTTTTCTACCTGGAAGAAAAACTTTCCACTTTCTTTTTTTCAATTTTTCAAAAAAAAAAATTTTTTTTAAGACCCGGCCCTGCATTCTGTCTGAGATTTAAGCAAAAGTCCCTTCTCTTCTCATCTTTCTGGGGGTATTGGTTACCATCGTCATGTGGCGAGGAAGCAGAAAATTATGTCCTACTTTAGAAAAACAATCGCTCCTTTTCACCGAAATATTTATTCAAAACCCCATTCAATTCATGTGGTGGCTGTCACTCTTTATTTAGTCTCTCTTTCAGAGGGTATCTTTGATTTTGCCACTTTGACCTCAATTTATATTTCACTAGGAGAAGTTCTAGATACCATTCAATCCTTCACATTTGAATCCAAGCGCCGCTTTGAGAACCTTTTTTTTTTTCATTCCCTAATCACACATCACGACTGTTTGTTTTAAAAAAATAGTGTCTTTTCATTCATGGGCAACATCCCCTTTCAAGAAGAAAATACAGATTTTTTTTTCTTTCTCCTTTTGATGTTTGGAGTAGGGAGAAGACAGGGAACAAAGCCAAGAAGTTGTCATACTCGTGAGTTCACCAAAGGCAACTATATTTAGGCCCCCAAATGTCAAGATTTTCTCCCGGGCCTCTTGAGCAATTAATGCTGAAAACATCTGGAGTCATCTGAAATGGAGCTGAGCCAGGGGGTGCCAGCATAGACATGGGGGGAAGGGGGGCATCCTCAGTGCATTCCCTTAGTAGCCTCCTAATCCTGACTTGCACTGTTTACAACAAGCAATGCACAAGCTCTCCTGCCACTGGCAGCTGGCTGGCATATCACTTTCCTGTCTTTAAAGAAAATAAAGGGAATATTCTAACCCATTTCAAAGTAAGTTTCTGCTGAGTTCCAGGTTCAAAGGTTTTACTCTAGTGATCACACACACACACACACACACACACACACACACACACATGCCACGGCAACAAATAAGTAGAATCTTAGCGCAGAAAGCAGTTTGGGTTGGAATTCGGTGCTATTTTTTTCTTCCTCTTTGCCCGCTGTTTCCTCTGCCTTGAAGAGCACAAACAGATCTGCTTCTCGTCAAAACAGCCATTAAGTAAAATGGAAAAGGTTGTGGTTTTTATGTCCTTAGTTACACAAACGAAGCCCTAATATGCCTTTATTTCAAAAAGCCCTAACTAGCTCTACCGCCCTGGAGCCAAAGGCACAGACACGTTGAAATCTTTCTTTGAAAAGAAGGCTTAGTTTTATGTATGCTTAAAAAAACTCCCTCACTTCAACAACACAGCTGACCTCTTCTCAACTGGTTTATGGAAGAGAAAGTAACCCGGCAGGGGACAAACAAGATTTACATTTTATGCACTGGACGCAAAGTTGAAGTATGGGATTCAACCCTTGTGAAATCGACCACAATAAGCACTAATTGCCTTGCTTACAAAAATAAGACACTGGAATTTCTGAAATCCCTTTGTCAAATGTCTTTATTTACTCTGTCCAAGGCAAGTTTCTGTGATTAGCTAAACTTTGCTGTTATCAACACTTCTTGCTTATCGGCTAGCCCTAGGCGAATGACACATTCACCACTCGCTCTCCCAGATAAAGCAAATCCCTTGTTTAACTTGTTCAAGAACAAACAAAGCTTTCCCCCCTACTCTTACAACTTAATAGGCATGTTTAGAGGATTAATTACAGGAGAGAGAATGCCTACATGTAAACGAATAACTCAAACCAGAGGATCCGGAACATTTTTGCACCTTCTGTTCAAAATCAGGTTTTATTGCAATTCCTCTAACAAGAAAAAGTTTCAAAGTGCCCCAGTTCCCGGGGACTCCAAATGAAGCGGCTCAAAGGATTTTAAACTGTTCCAGAGAGGACAGGGTTGAAAGATCGGCTGGTGGATTAGAAATTGATCTTTTAACACTTGGTTTCTGTTTGAGTTCTCTGGGAAGGAAATTAGCCACCAGAAAGAAAAAAAAAAATAAAGAAATAAATTGGGGGAGCAGCAAGATGAAGACATCTTCTGAAAACCATCTTTGTGCCTTCCTCGTGACTCCTCAAGATGTTAAATCCCATGGCCCACAACAGTGGCCTCCACATGGTTATTGATTCCTCAGCTACAAACCTGTTGATTTCCTGACCCAAAATGCAAGTCTCAAAGTTCCAGGGAGGGCAGTTTCAATCCAGTCACTATCCCCTCTCTCTCTGCCTTTTCTTTTCTCTCTTTAGATAAGCCACCATGTTATTAGGAAAACTCAATTTCTCCCAGTTAAACTTTGACCTCTTTGAAAACAAAGATTTAAAATGTCATTTTCAGGCTAATGCTCCAATGAATTGTCAAATAAAGTACTAAAAACATTTTGATAGATAGCGGAGCCATTTGTCTACATCACTGTCAGCGTGGCGAAGCATCCTGCGGGCTTCTACTCCAGCCACCCGAAGGTGGGATTTCCTAGGACTTGTACTCATTTCTCAAGCCTACAGCCAAGCTACTGTGGGGCAGATGCGTGCCTGGGCACTGTGTCAGCCTCAGATAGCCAAACAGTACATGTACACATATATGCACATATATGTGTATATATATATATAGTTTAAGCTGAGTTACTCTAATATTTCCTTTCCTTTAACTGATGCCCAGGTTCCTGGTTGAATGGCAAGATAAGGAAATAATGGATGGCTCAGCTCAAGGGGTGTTCATTGCCAGTAGTTTTCTAGCAAAACAGCAACTTCTTAGACCAACAAAGTGACTCGGAAAGGTGGCAGCAGGGTCAATGCTAAGAAATATTGCCTTTCCTTAGCAAGGAAAACATTGGCGGCGGCAGCCCAAGCTGGTGGCTTATGAACTTCAGGAGCAACGGGTGCCTTAATTACACTAAATTCCCTGCAAGGAAGATGTCATATTTTAATTACTTTGGACTGCTGAAATACACACGGGGGTGAGAGGAGGAGGGATATATCTATCTATACATATAGATATAAAAGCATATATATATATACACAACTAGTAGCTAATTCAAAGAACAACAAAGTTAAATTCCCTCTCCCCCAAACATTGGAGTAAAAACTGGACAATGTGTCAAACTGCCCTACTTGAAGAATGTTTCAAAGTCTTGTGGTCATCCTCTATTGCCCCCACCTTCATGCATATTTTTTTTAAAACTATTTTCAAGACACTTCAGGGTTGGGAAGGAGAGGCACTCCGGCGCAGGACGGGCTCCTCCGTGGGAGGAAAACATCTAACAGGAAATTTTCAGCAGAGGGAATCAATAATGCAATAATGCACGCCAGCACATCACACCCCTTCAGCATTAAATCATTAAACCCTTTGTCTTGCTGCCTATGCAGTTTATTTCCAACGTCTTTATTGCATGCAAGAGAGACAATTTTTTTTTTCTCAGTAGAAGAAGGGAGGGAAAAAAAAAAATAAACCTACATTGAGCAGTGTGCCGATGCTGCCACTCGGTTTGGGTCAATCCACTGATGCATGCTTTGAAAGCTTTCTCCTGGAGCATACAGGAAGACGGACTCGCCGTGTAGAAATCCAGGATTTGCCCAGGACTCACTGACAGAACATCCATACAGTCAAACATGATCTCCCCTGCACCGAATGTCTGCGGAAGTGCTTATCCTCTAGGTGTGGAGGTAAATGGCATAGAAAAGTCCACCCAACTCCATCAAACTCTGCCCCTTTTTTTGGCACGTAGGCTGTTGGTCCTTTTCCCAGCCCCGAATCATGAATTATGACAGACAAGCCAGCTAAAAGCCTGTAATTGATCCAAATGATCATTTACCATTTTCCAGGCTTGCTCGGCCAATCCAGCCCGGGCGGGGGGAGGGGGGGTTCCCAGAAAGATTCCAAGTTCTCCTTCGGAGCGAACGCTGACGAAAAGCCTTCCAAATGCGGTCCGGAGCTTAGCCCGACGGTGCCCAGAGCAACCCAGCTCGGGTCGCCCGCGTCCTCGGCATCCCAGTCCTCGCACAGCGCGCACGGGGGAATTCTGGTCCCCCCTTTGGCAAAGAATAGACCCTCCTGCCTCCGAACAGCTCACTTCCTACTACTTCTGTCACACAGAATGAAAGATTGAATTGCCTAATATATGCGAGTGAACTTTCGGTGAACCCTTCCCGGGCTGCTAACCTTCAAATGACCCAACGAGTCTGACATCACCAACTCCCAGGATTCTCACAGAGCTTAAAACCTCCCAGCAGCCCTGCAAACGCACACAGCCCGGGGAGGCCAGCAGCGGCACAGGCCAGCGCTGCCTTCCCCATTTCTCACCTTACACACAAAGCGACAAGGGCTTTGAAAGCGAACAGGGGAGGAGCTGGGACTCTGCCTCCGCTGCGGCTCCCGTGCAGCGCCCACTCCGGCTTCCACTACGCCTTTTGATTTGCAGCGGCCACGGCAGTGGTGGCCGGGCAGGCTAGAGACCAGCGCTTTCCTCTGCCCTTACCGAAGCAGCAGCTGCCGCCTAACCCCTGCCCACCCCTGGCATTGCTTGGAGTGCCTCCTGGTCTGGTTGATTGCTTATAACATAGGTTTTTTGTTTTGGGTTTTTTTTTCATTCCCGAAAGGGAGCGCACGAGCCCTAAAGTGTAGTGCAGACAGAGATGAGTCCTTGGGGAAGCCTGGGTTGGGAAGCTTTCCATGGCTTGGTCTTTCTCGTTCTGCCTGTTTGCAAGCCTGGACTGAAGCGACTGTCGGGGCTGTGCAGTGAAATTCCAGCTTGGTGGATTCCTAGACTTTTTAAAGAAATCCCCTGCAGGCAACACATGGCACAGGGAGCAGTCAACAAATGATGACACCTGCCCCAACAGACACATGATTTGAGATCCTGACCTGAAAAAAACACAAGGATAGTGGGCAAGAATGTCGATTTAGGAGTTGAACTGGAAACCCGTTCCTGCTGTATCACGTATCAGCTATGTTACGCATTTAACCTGGGCGCATCAATAACTGTTCCGGATCTCAAGTTTCTTCATCTGTGAAATGGGCATACAATTCTACCTTCATGCGGGTAGGGCAGCAGTCACACTTGGGCAGGCCCAGCTAGCATCGTGCAGTGCACGCCTGCTGTAAATCATCCTCACGTTTTTCTAAGGGGAGCACACAGAAGCCCTGTGTCTGAGGTCACGTGACTGGAACTCAGCTCCTTGGAATCCCAGCTCAGTGTGACAATGCCCTTGCTGTCCTCACAGCTGTGCACGCCTGGCCCACCATACATTAAAGAACACCCAGTTCTTGTATCTCCCCAGGGCAAATTTTAGTGCCTCCCACTCCCTATCCAAACTTTGCTACTTAAGAAAACAGGATAACTTAAGAGAGGATGACTTTCTTTACACCTTGCATCCTGCCCCAGGAAGGAGTAACTTTTTCAAGCCAGTTTTCAAAGGACAGACTCAATTTTCACAAACAAACCCAGGTCGACAGACAACTGTCAACGTGGGAACCAACCCTCGCCCCAGCCATCTTGTATAACTTGCAGAGGGATGCAACAGAGATCAAAGACAGGAAACTCTGGGGTCCAACGAGAGTTCCCCCCTTCCCTGGGTGTCTGCTACAAAACATGGCAGGGCCAGTGGGTGGGCATGGAGGCAGGGCAGCCTGCCTCCTGCCGGGAACTGCTCTACTCCAAGCTTGGTTCTGGTGGATAGTACCGGAATGTGCCATGGCAGGGGACAGGAGGTGGGAGCCCCTGCCTGATGCGGAATCCTTGCTCTGCATATGATGACTGGCACAGCTTGCAAAGTCTGCCCAGCACACACTTACCAGGTGGAAGATCTTCTTAGGGAAATACCCTATAACAATTTTTGGCCCCTCAGGCTCAGTTCTTACTGTTAAAAAGTTTCCGGTGATAAATGATGGAGAAGAAGTGGAAACTTTGTGTTACTTGTTTTCCTCCTCCTTTCTTTTTTTTTCATTGGCCATCACTTTGTAACAGAGCCTTATAAGAAACTATCTATAAAGAAGAGGCACCTTTTCAGCAAGGGAGCACAAAACAAATCCCAAAACATTTTAACACACTGTCATCAAGACTTAGACACTGAAAGCATTATCATCTGTGCCAATTTCTACCCTGAGGCTTAGCGCTCCAAACGCTTGTTTCAGTTCTTCAGAGTTCCTTGAACATCAGGCCCATTATACTGAAACACAGAAGTGGATAAAAAGTCTCTAAACGGTAGAGGAGGAACTGGAATCTGGACTCTTTGATGAGAAAGATGACACCAATCACAGGAATGTGTGGACAGATGTCTGCCTTCCAGCACTTTCCAAAGGGAGTGGGTACCCTGGTGGCAAGGATGTGAAAGCTACAGTAGATGATCACAAAATTTTGTTCCCTCTCACATCTAAAACTAGAAAGCAAGCATCATCTAGGAAGGGAGATGACCATGGCACATTTATTTCTCTTATATTATATTGGCGCTCAGAAACAACGGTGCTTTGAGTGTGTGGGCATACACCTGCAAGCACATAGCAAGAGTTGAAGGATCTGATGTTTTTCTCCTTTGCACAGGAAAATGTGAAGTTTATGGGATGTTCCCTTTGGCAGCGCATACAATGAAACTGGCAAGTTTATGAGGCCAACATGGTGGCCCAGCAGGTTAAGCTACTGTCTGAGATAAAGACATCACATATCGGTGCAGCTGGAGGCTCAGCTGCTCTGCTTTCGATCCAGCTTCCTGCTAATGTGTCTAGGAAAGCTTCAGAAGATGGTTCAAGTACCTGGGTCCCTGCACCCAGGTGGGAGACCTAGATGGGTTTCGTAGCTCCTAGGCTTCAGCCGGACCAAACTTGGCTCACTGAAACTTTATTCAGAGTGAGTCAGTGGCTAAAAAAATCTGTCCCTGGCTCAGTCATTTCAACAATGATGTTTTTTGTTTGTTTGTTTTTACAAATAACACTTAGAATCACCGTCAGGATTTTTTTTTTCTTAACTCTATAGAACTGAACTTGGTCTTGAACTGAATGATCACTATTAAGATTTTGTGAAAAGAATATTATAGGTTTCTTACACCGCAACAGCATTCACTAGTGAACTCATTTCTCATCATGAATTAATTATGCTCATGGCAATGACTGGAGCTATTACTTAATCTAAGTATTAATTTATAAAGCAGACCCCACAATTTACCATGTCTTTGTCAGACAATCTAATTCCTAAACTTCCAGAAAAGTCAGTTCTCCCTCCAAATTCTTCATTTTAAGTAAAGTAAAGGAAAGAGACAAATAAGCCACAATTCTTTAAATACAATGTGCTATAAAGATTAATGAATAGGGTAGTAAGTGAAAAATGGACTAGATAATTTGCTCATGGTGAAGTTTAAATTACTGACACCCATTTTAAACATGAGTCAAATACTTAAAGGAAACCTACCCAAATAATCTCTTGGTATGGCATAAAGAAAACCTACAACCAACATTCTGGTGCATGTCCTCTATTTTCTTTGTGCTTGATCAATGACCTAATAAAAGTGTTTCTACCAACAAGGAAACAAAAAGCCAAAAACAAAAAAGCAAAAGTTGGAGAGCAAAATCCATTTTGCTTCAGAGTAACTATATATTTGTCAGTGTGACACAGCACATTTGAAACCCATAATCATAAAACAAAAATTTATAGCCAGGGTTCAGGGTCTACATCTGTTTCTCTGGTTTTTGTACAGCAATTACCCACTGGACAATCCAGAAAGAAACACCATGAATCACGCTCTGCAAACATGTTTGAACTGGAGAATTTCCGAAGAAAGAGCAGGCGTCTCAGCGCCCCAGGACTGCAGCCTACTGTGGACAAAATTGGTCAAAGACCTTGTGATGTCTAAATCGGAAAGGCTTGCACAGGTGCAAATGCACCCAGCCCAGCCCCAAGGCATGCAAACAGGGGCAGCCACCGTGGTGGGCTGGTGGGAGGCAGACACCACGCAGTTTCTAAAGAGCCACCCACCTGTGGGAGTTTCTGTTTCATCTTTGCTGATTTTTATTACTGTTTTCCTCACTAACATGTAAAGTCTTCCTTCTTTTTTCTACAAAATGTTTATTTTGCTTATTTGAAAGGCAAAGTTAGAGAAAGGGAATGAGAGACAGAACTAGCACGTAGCCCACTGGTTCACTCTCCAATTGACCGTTTCAGCCAAGGTGAGGCCAGGCAAAAGATGCCAGGCAGAAACTTTATCCAGGGCTCCCCACTTGCCAGGGTTCCAGTGACCAAGGTCTGCTTCCACTGTTTTCCTAGCAGAGCTGGATCTGAAGTGGAGCAGCTGGGACCCCATCCTATGGGATGTTATCATCGAAGGTGATTGGTTTGATTTGCTGGGCCTTACCCTTCTTGTCACATAATTGCCAGAAGAATAAACAGCCAATGGTGCAGGCCGTGTGCTTGTGCAGAAAGGCCACAGCAGTGATGTGTTGTGAGAACAGGGTAAGTTCTGAGGCTACTGCACTCATAGGCCGAGTTGCTTCTGTGTTTGGGGCTGGGTGACGTTCTGATGCCAAGCAACAGGTGACAGCTGGACTACCGGCCCTTCTGGCTCAACACCAACAGGGACACAGGACTTCTGGTGCCATGTGTCTTACACTGAGATACACCAATGTAAACTTGACACTGAGGCCTATACCTGAGGTAAAGTGCACAGTGCACAAAAGGGGTCCTCAACAAGTTTATGGAAGAGTGGCGCTAAAATATATCAGAATTTCATGTGACTAAATCTTCACAAATCCATTCATCAGATGTTGAGTACCTCAATAAATGTGGTGTACTTGTCATGGGATAGGTGCAGGGTATCCTTTTGGGGTAAGGGGGAATGTTCTAGAAAATTCTATAAGGCAAAATTCTATTCTGTAAGAGTTAAAAATTTTAGCAATATGTCTTATACAGTCCTTTAAAAATAAACAGTATATATAGATCTCATTAAAAATGTCTAGCTGCTGCACATTTAGGTTTCTATGTTGTTGGCTTTTTTCCTCCACATTATAAGCATTTCTGTGAGCATAAGCAGTGACACATTTGCCAGCCAACATTTTAGTAACAGTACTGACTGAATAGGAGCATTTACAACTTATTGGTTACTTTATTCATTTTTCTTTAAAAGGCAATGTGTGTGTGTATGTGAGAAAGAGAGAGAGAGAGAGACTTCTGCGAAAGCAGCAGATGACTTAAGTGCTTGGGCTCCAGCACCCACAGGAGACA